CGGCGTTCGGCTCCCCGGCTCGCTCGCTCGAGCCCGCGAGATAAGCGGAGCCACCACCACGAGGCTCCTCTGTGCCCCCCCTCGCAGCTTAGACGAGGCGTAATTCTCCGCGTTGGCAGCTAAATAATTTACGGCTGCTAATGCCGAGAATTTCCCCCGAAAATGTGGTGGGGGAGATTGCCGAAATCACTGAGGAAAACCCCGTTGCCGCCTTCTGTCTGCGGAACAGCGCCGGCTTCCTTTCCATGGGGAGCCACGTTCACCAGCAGCATTGAATTTGGCGGGAAGGCAGAAGCTCTCCCGTGGGAAGAGGCGGTTCGTGGGTTTGCTGTTTCTTCTCTTCCCGGGAAACGGGCGATTCAGAGGGGGTGGAAGGATGCTTTGCAGGCCCACTCGCCTGACCCACCCCCATCCCCATGACTCGTGTTCTCGGAACATTGTCTGTCTCTTAATGAGTCTGGCGTAGGAAGCGTAATTGATAAATTAACGGTGATTGGGGTGGGAAGACACTAGGCAATATCAGTAAACCTGCGGATCACCTTTTTTTGTGATACCCAGGAAAAGCCCTACTTCGCACTCTTTTGAACCTGGTTCACACATGGTGCATATTGATTTCTTGGCCTTTGATGACAGTAGCAGAATGTGTGAATGGGCTCCCCGGAAAAGCAGTGGGGAAGAGCAAGAGTTCAATGACAGGATGCCTGTTCTGTATGCAAGAAGTCTCACAATCAGTCCCTGGCATTTCCAGGTAGGGCTAGGGAAAATCTTTTCTGAAATGGAAATTTGGCGAGCTACTGCTAGTTGTAATACAATTTGGGGTGGATCCAGAGCAACCTGTAGTCCCAAGCTAAGGCAGGGCACTATGCTGGAGCAGTAACATTAAAATCCTAATAATTTAATCCCCATGGATCAATGCAAAATCACATGATTCATGTTCAAAAACAGACTTGAAAGAACCTCAAAGTTCATAGAAGTGCAAAATAATATGGGGGCAGGGAATTCAGTACTGTAAGGACAGCATGCTTTGTTACTTAGTTGCAGGTGGGCAGTGCATGGAAAATTGAGAAGAAGGAATGGAAAACAGTATTCTGGAAAAGGGCACAGCTAAGTGCCTGAAATCCAAGCAGGAATATTCTCTTACTGCATTTTGTTAAAAAATTCTTTCACTTGTTCTATTTAATAACAAACGTAGATGACTATTGATTTAGAAGCCCACAGAGAGCTGTGCAAAAATGGATTAGTAGTTTTAGTGGGGATTCCTGTGTTTATAGGGGCACATGGATTAGATTTATGAATAAAAAGCCTCTAATGCAGGGTTTTTCTAGCTGTTCCATGGAATCCTAGAGTTCTGCAAGGATTTGATGGGGTTCCATGAGAGACTAACGGCAGAAGGTGTTCTCTTGAATGCAGCCAGCTTTCTGTCACTAAAGCTTTGCCTCTTGATCAGAGATTCTGGGAAATTATTTTTTTAACAAACATGTTCTGCAGCATGAAAACGTTCGAAAATCCCTACTTCAGTGCAACTTTATCTTCAAAATATGTTGAAGCTACAGCTTCCAGAATTCCAACCCAGAACACTTGGCGGTAAATAAAAGTTAAATAGTAGCAGAAAAATAGAAAAAAGTATCTTTGCATCTTTTAGGTAAAACAGAGTAACAGTTTGTTATTGGATATATGTGGAAATATTGGCAGATCTTGCACTGTTAACAGAAATTGATTCAATCTGATTGTCAGTACTAATCCTTTATGCTTTTAAATACAACTTACTTCCATCTATTAATGCATATACAAACCTGCCAGAGCATTGCCTCCTCCAGGACTATGGTGTGTATTTTGATGGGCAGCACGTACATAAACTCTAAATCCTTCCCGGCTCTGTAAGTCTTTTTAAACTGAAAACATATGGTGGGTATTGAATTTTGGGCTTTCCCACATATAATAAAGCTGTGCCTTAGGGTAAGGAATGCTAGATTTAACTCAGCAGCAAGGTCCCTTTTCTTTGGAAACAATTTTCAGGGAATGTTTAACTATAATGGTGTGTTATTAAAAATTGGAACTTTTAAGGTACTTCTTTTCTACAGTTATTGAAGAAAGGTATACAAATGAAGATATGCATCAGTTCTGCTTTCCCCAGTTATGCCCAGAACATCTGAAGGCACCAAGCTGGGGAAGGAGATAGTGTTTTATCATTTAATCTTGAGTTATTTAAGTGTCTCTTTTCTCATAAAATGCATGCACATGAGAGAACGAATACATGGAAAACTACAGTTGTTTATCACACGTATTTGTCCTTACAGAGTGTCCTGGGCAGTGTGGTATACTGTGGTTTTTTTACTTTACTTTTCATAACAGTTCTCTAAGGTTGGTTAGAGTGAGAAAGAGTGTTCGAGCTAAGATCATTTTGTAAGCTTTATGGTCAAACAGGAATCTTACCCAAATTTTCCCTGGAGTAAATTTTCCTTTTTCCCAGTCTAGCTACCCAGTGCATGTTTATGTAAGGAGTGAAGCTGGGAGAAAATGTAGTTATTTCACATGTTGTCATATATGATTGCAATAGGAATATGTAGATTTTTCCCTATTTATTTTCCATTTTTAAAAAAAGCTGTCTGCTTTTATAGTCCTTAACAGACAAGAGCCCTTGTTTTTCATATTAAGCTTCCTTTATTTTATTTTATTTTATTTTATTTTATTTTACTACCACTGATGAACCACCATCCCTTTTATTTTCCCTGTAGGAATTCTGCTACCAGTGCACCAGACACCAGCCAATCTTGGGAACGATAAGCATAGAAACGTGGTGGGTAGATCAAGAACAAAATGATAAATGAAACAATGAGTTATAATACACCTGGAACAAATCTTTCCATGTAATTACTGATGAGCTCCCTCCTAAATTTATCACATGATAGTTGATAAACCAGGAGGATCCTTCTAAGTTCGTTATAAACCAGAGGACCAAGACTCCTGGACAGACTTGTAATTTCTCTGCAGTAATTATAAATCCTTATGATGCTGGGAAAGTGACAGAAACCAGTAAATCCCAGGAACCATTGTATTGCTGTTGCTTTCAAGTTTTTATATGGAAAATAACATTGGCTTTGCCCCCAGAGCTTGTACGTGGGGCTTCATGTTGTCTCTGCAAAGCAATTTGTTTAGATCTTTGGCAAATGCAGTCTGCCCTGTCCCCAGCATGAAAAACACGACAGACAAATGTGGTGACGCGGTTATATTTGATTCTGTCCCTGTGCACCACTGATATTTACCTTCTTCCCCCAACAAACTGTTAGCAAGGTAACGTGATTCTCAACAGAGAAGAGGTACATTGGCTTACACTGTGTTGGGCTAATAGTTTTGAAATGTTGGGCAAATATTTGTTTTGCATTGTTCTGATATTGTACACAAACCTAATTCATCTAATCAGAAATGGAAACTTGGTTTCACCCCACTCTATAATATTTGCAAAATTGTATTCACACATAATATCACAAATTAGATGCATTGATGTCCCAAAAGTTGTAGAGACCTCTTTGACCTCTTTCAAGCCATGCTTATTTGAGCAGGTTCATATTATATCCACGTAGTTAAAAAAGCATGTGAAGGGGTTGTACAGGCTAACCCCACCCCTTCACACAAGAGTGAGCATAGCCAAACCTTTAGCTTCTTCATATGGACAAGCTCTACAAATAGACATGACCATGAAATAAATAGGGAGCTGGGTTAGCCTGCACAGTCCCAAGGTCTTCACCTGCTTACTTGAAATGTAACTGCGGTGATGGTCCAAACTCTTGTAGAGAGACTCATCTGATTGTGGAAGCACAGAAGCAGGAAAATATGATTTATATTGATTCCAAATTAAAGATTATTAGATACATCCATGCGTTACAAAATGGGAGCGGGGAAAAAATCCCTCTAGCTGCCAGACATGTGGATGGAATTCCATCATTTATTCTTCTTTTCCAGCCTTATCTAAGCTGGTGCTCTCGAGATGCAAACACTGAGATGGGTAGAACTTGTTGCTTGGACTACACATCTAGGATGACCATTCAGTGGGACCTGTGGTCTCAGCACATCTGGAAAGAGGCAGCATAGGGAAGGCTTTCCTCCATCAATATACTTGTGATTTCCCATCTGCAGTGAGCTATATAAGGGATTTTGTGTTGCAAAAGTTCTGTTAATCACTCCTCATTAACCTTTCAGATAATAGCTAGAATCTATATTACACTGAAGTTTCAGGGAGGAGCTACCTTCAAAAAAAGATTGTAGCAATATATTCTTGTTTCAACAAGCTTTGCCTTTCAGATTTATTGAAGGGAACTGGTCTGTATTCCTGGACTTCATAAATGGAAAAGCCATCAAATCTGAACTGTCTATGATCAACCCTGGAGGCCCTTCTTAGTTACTATTTATTATACTGTAGCAACTTTCATTCCACTTCAATCTGGTTGATTCTTACAAAATTAATAGCACAGTCAGTATTAACAACCAAAATAACATAGTAACAATCAATTTAATACATTGAAACAACACTCTTGGCAACCCGTCTCAACCAGGGGAAAAACTAGTGATCCATCTTCAGTCATTCCCAGAAGGCTCTAAAAACATAGATCTTCACAAACCTTTGGATACTCAGAAGGGAAGAGGTTCCTCTCACCTCCAAGACAAGCTGTTTCACAGGAGAGGAGCCCCCTTCTCTCAGATTTCCTGATAGGTGGGGGTCCCCAGTAGTCGCTTTTTGTTTGCACATTTTGAAAAGGCAGATTCTGTTTGGAATAGACAGTTTTGAAGAATCTATGATGCTTGCTTATGAGATCAATTAAGCCATGGGCCCAAGAGATCCTTGTCCTAAATTTTTTCAAGTAGTAGTCCTGTTAGCATTAAAAAGGTATTTTAGCAATTGTATAGCTTGACTATCTTTAAAGAATATTATGCTGGTTGGTATTTATATTGTCCTTTTAAGGAAGGTTTGCAAAAAAAAAAAAGGATTTTTAAAAACTGGAAAATGCCTTGAAGGGCATGAATATTTTAAATAAATAAATATGCTTCTATTTAATGCATACTTGCAATTATTTTTCATGGTAGTTCTTTCCAGCACTGGGCTGAACCTTCCAGTACTGATTCTGAAAACAGATGTATCAGAAATTCCTTTGTCTTGTATCAGCTTAGAATTTTTAGATGATATTATTGTGGCTTCCAACTGGATAGCCTCCTTTCCTTGTCAGTTATATGGCAAGGAAAGGCAACTTTTTCTGTGGAAGCTTATTCCCACTTGGTTTCATTTCCTGGGAATGTTTTCCAGTTGTTTGTTACAGTGACTGCACTTTCAATCTAACATAGAAATAAAATAAAAAATATAGAGTAGACTTTCTAAACAAGATGCCATCCAGGTTTGTTGGAACTGCAACTCAGAATTCCCACCCAGTGTTGATCTGCACTAATTGGGAATTCTGGAATTCTCAGCACCAAGACATTTAGGAACTGTCAAGTTGGAGAAGGCTGGCGTATGCTGGAGGTCAGGGTGTTGTTTAAGGAAGTAGCTATAGAAGTTGGTTGAACTGGATTCTTTCTCAGCATGGAATGTGTGGTCTATATTGCTTTGGCAAGATCACGTTAGGATAATGGTGAAACTGCTTTTAAATAAAGATTGTTGGGGCGTGGAGCCAGACCACTTCTGCTCATGTAGAAAGTGAGAGAACACCATGGACTTAGGTAGTCTGCAGTTTCACCATGCTTATCCAGGAAAAGCCAGGATTCTTTCTCTATTGACAGTGGAAACAAGACTAGGCTTTGAGGTCTCCTGTTTGATCACCACTTGTGCTCTACATAAAGTGCAGCCATAATGGCAAATGCAAGCGTGACCACAGTCTTTTCTAAGAAATCAGACATCACGTATATATTTCTGGAGGGGAATTGCTGGAAGATCAGTCATGTTGGCTTTCTCCCATGTTGATACCTGCTTGAAAGCCTCTTTAAAAAGATTGCCTTATGTAGAATCTATTTGAACTGAAGCCCTATTATTTCAAGTGAGACAGGAAGGATTCAGTTATTATTGTGGTTCCCTAACTGTGCACTGGGTGCCCCAGAGAACTGACAGGGGCACTGCAGGATATTTTAAATTCGGACTTAACTACTTAAATGGAACTGTTAGGAATTTCTTTTGGCCTAAAATTAAAACAAAAACAAAAATGAAAAACAGATACTGAGGGTGCTGTGAACTGAACAAGTTTGAGAACCTTTGCATTATTAGGAGCTACAATGCAATAGATTTCTTAGCCATATTTTGCTGACTGTTGTAGCTATTCTTTTGGTGACATATTACCAGTAAATATACATTTAAGATTTGTCTGCAGTTTCAGAGAAATCTTAAATGTATATCATTAATAATGAAGAGATTCTTGGATGCAGAATTGTCTATTCCTTTACAAAAGTTACAACTGAAGATTATTCATTTGAGAATTGTTATTAATCAGTTTAAAAAAAGTTAAATCTGCACCCCAAATTTGACATTTTCAGTCCTCATTAAGCAGTTGGGAAGGTCTTTTCTATGTTGTTCTTGTCTGAATATTTTGTATTACTACATTCCTGAGATTGGTGTTTCTCAATGTCAGCAACTTTAAGGTTAGGGGACTCCAACTAGCTGGGGAATTCTGGGAGTTGAAATCCACACATTTTAAAGTTGCTGAGGTTGAGAAACATTGCTATAGATACTTGGAGGGAGCAATAGGGGCCTGCAACAAAGTATTGTAGCATAACCTTACTTAAGAGGAAATTTGTATTCAGAGTCCTAGCTGGCAAGTCATGCCAAAGATCTTTTTTATTCTCAACCCCCTTCCCCCAGTTTTCAGGGCTATTTTGCACATTCAGGCCTTTTTTGATCATGTAAGGAGGGCTAATCTGCTAAATTTCCTCTCATTGCCTCCTTTTCACTAGCTTGAATTTCTTGTTAAAGGGAATGCCCTAAACCAGTGTTTCTCAGCTTTGGCAACTTGAAGACATGTGGACTTCAACTCCCAGAATAGTGAACATGGCTGGCTGGGGAATTCTGGAAATTAAAGTCCACACATCTTCAAGTTGCCAAGGTTGAGAAACACTGCCCTAAACAGTTTAGTTCTCTTGGGTTCTGGCAAGTGATCTCCTCTGGGACTGCAGATTGTGACAGTTGTGTCATGTGCTGCTTTCAGAACTATAATACCTTGAGAAGAGAACCATGACAGTTAAATCACTTGCATTACAGTTGTGTTTGAGTAATACCCTTCCTGAAATCTCTTCCAGTGGTAAGGAATAACTAAACTGAATTTACATTCACTGAGGTAGTGAAGAAAAAAAGCAGCCTTAAGAATTTCAGTCTGCATCTTGTTGGAGTTCAGGTGGTCTAGGATCTAGCAGTACTCTTGAACCTTCTACTTGTTTTCCAGTTTCTAAGAATTGTAAGGACCAGCCTGGCTGTTTGTTTATCACATGAGATACACCTGATTCAACAGTTTGGTTTCCCTGCTTTTTGTCACGTTCATTCTAACCACGCCTTAGTTACTTGGCACAGAATCTGGTAAGAGTGATATTTTTCTGCTGGGTTACATGTAGTTAATTACTGCTACCTTCTTATTCTTTTTTTCTCAGCCATGCTGCAGAGATTCCATATAAAAGAAGCACCAATGTTCAGTGAAAATATAACTGATTTTGGCTGTACTGTAAAAACAAATGTCTCTTGTTAGATTAGTGAACAGACAGAGAATAATGTTATTAATGGCTTCTAGGTGTGATGGCTATATGTAATCTCCAGCATCAGAGGCAGTATGTTTGTCCTTCCATCAGCTGCTGGGATCATTAATGAGAGTGTTCATGTCTTTTCTGAAGTGCACTGTGGTTATTTTCTCCTCTAATAAATGTATTAATAGTACAGTAAGTAAATAGTAAGTAAATAGTAAATAGTAATATTTACTATTCCTGAGAACACTTTCAACCTGTCCAGATCTGGGAACTAGAATCTCCTGCTCCCAATCATGCTTTCAATTCAAGAATAACATCTCTGTTAGAGTCCTAAATGTCAGTGCTAAGCCTTACTGGCTAAACTGGATAATGAACACGGTGTTTCAAAACAGTCTCTGATTTACAGCTGTATATGTAAATAGTGCACTCAAATAAACAGTGGAAAGAATACAAATAATGATAAAGCTTATTTAATTGTACCCAAATGTAAGTGCATTTACTTGGAAGGAAAGGCCTACACTGTTTTCTTTAGTAAGCACTGTTTGTACATTTTACATGTAATGGAATGTGAGAGCCATTTGCTTAAAAATGAGATATTTTCAGGAAATAAGTATTAATGTAGAATTTATTACTATTTGCACTATCGAGTTAACTAAGGTTTATAGGCAAAATGTTTATGGGATATTGAGAGTAATTTAGCTATAAATGGGAGCTGTAGAAGAACGCTAATGTGCCTATTTGGGTGCTATTCAAAATTTATCCCATGGCTGTAAACAGCTGGTGAGGTTGTGGGTGACACTGATGCTCATTGCTCAATGCTGAATTCTAACTCTAGGAAGAAGATGGGGCTACAAGCCTTTAATGAAGCTAGAGGTAATTTCCTGAAAAGATATTATTATAAACTTTTCTGACTGAAGGAAGATAGTATGCAGAGGTGTTAGTGAAGAGGACTGGTTAGAATGAACAGGTTAGCCAAATCCATGAACCATTTAAGGTTCTCTAATAGATTCCTTTTATCTTGCTGGAAATTGTTTTGTTTTTTAGAAATCTAGCAAGCCTCTTTCCCAGTCCTGCTATATGAGACTCCTTCAAGACACCATAGTTCACTATTAAGCCATACTTTTCATTCCACTGATACCTCATTTCTTGATCAGATGGTCCTTAAAGTAACTCACACAAAATAAAATCTCAGCAAAACATGTCAAGAAAGGTATTATTTAAAAAAGAGAGAGCGAGAAAAGATACCACAGTAAGTAGTAGGAAGGGAAAATAAGCTAATAGCATGAATTTTAAAGCCTCATAAGTGACAATTCTCATTCTAGTAGAGTGACTTGTGGATGTCTTCCCCATGAGTTCATATTCCATAATGGGCCACTGCTTATATCTATAATAGAATTTCCAGTTTGAATTTCAATTTAGGTAGGTTATTCAAAGAGGGTTCCATTAGTAAAACTAATAGAGCACTAAGGATTGACATTGTAGGA